TATGGCTCTTGGCTGATTGGCTGGTGCCTGAACTCGCACTTCTGGGTTTTTTTGTAAACTGTCTAGTGTTTCCAATTCCTGACCTAGTCACTGGCAAGAAATGAAATTGAGCAGAGGCACTAGGTGGTGCCAGCCGAGCTACCTTTTGCTGACATCACAAGGTGGATCAGAGCATTTTGAGCTTGTACTCAAACATGTGTATGAAACAAAACATCTCCAAATATGTTTTGACAAGGTAATAACAGTCTAACATGGCTGAAAGCTCAATTTTGCATAATATCTGCGCATTTAAATGAGAAATGTTTGAAATTAGACTGAATATAATAATGTGTGTATAAAATATAAATAAATAGACCAGTTTCCAGATGATAAACAAAGCTATAAACTTAAATATCCCTTTTATAATGCCACAATAGCTCTTTTTAAAAAAAGATAAGATTGATTTATCTGTTCAAAACACATGTAAAACACACAAATAAATTATTCATAATTTGTAACACAAATGCACCACTGCTTTAAAAATGCATGTTTTCAATAAGAAGAAATTAAAATGTGTAAAAGAACTTCACCACACTCAAAAGCCCATATGCCAATAAATAACCTAGAATATAGTCTAATAAAATAATGATATAATGTTTACATCCATAACATATGCATCCAACACCTCCACACTGTATCTTTGGAGCAGAATTATCAGCAGCCCTCAGTTTTAATCACGGCTGTACTCTTCACCAGCCTCACTGTGGGAATACAGATGGGCAAACCAATTCATTTATTAGAACTTCAAAGAGTTGAGTTAAATGGACTTTGAGATTAGATTTCTGGTTTCGCATTCACGCTATACCAGGCAAAATCTGTGGAAATGCACGCAGCCATACACAAAGCATCTGCCTAGTGTCCCAGTACAGTGTGTGTAAATGTAATTAGACCGACATAATAAATCAAACTGAATGTCAAATTAACTGTGACCCATATTGATCATTATCTCCCTAAGTTTTCTTTGTGTTTTCAATGTGAAGCAGTAACATTAAAGGTTCTGTATTACACAAAATTTACTCTGTTATGTTATGTTATTAAGTCATGCTATACCAACATATTTTGTTTTGTTTGAGTACTCCTTTATTATTGGTCTGTCTACATCTTCAAAGCTCAAGATGCGCTGTTCCACCTTGTGATGTCATCTAGTGGTCATTTTCAAGTTACATTTTACCTTTTGGCAATTGCCAATATCGGGGCTGAAATCATCCAAATGATTCTAGTGAAGTTGATTGGGAGTTTAAAACACAGTGGAGCACTTCCTGTACTACCACATGACATCACAAGGTGGAATAGGGTCTTTTCTATTTAAGCAAGGAACTATGGAAAGGAAATATGCCGGGTTATTGTGTTAAACATGTGTGAATGAAACAAAACACAAGCCCAGATATGGTTGTGATGAGGAAACATTATGACATAGATCAGAACATAGCATAATACAGGTCTGTTAATAGGTCTACAAACTGACCCCAAAATAAACTCATGTAAAAACAACAGTTAGTTTTGATGGGTTTGGCTTATTGTGTTCATACTAACACCTGACGTTTGTGTTTTTATGTCTGTATACTTATAATTGGTAGCCTGTTTTCAATCATTTTACGTGACATTGTAGATTTGTCCACCAGATGGCAGCATAATACAGTCACGTACATGCTTATGGCCAGCACAATGTTTATTTCTGCACATATGTACAGCAAGCCTATTTAATACAAGAGTTAATTTAGATCAAACGCTTCTTGGTCTTTGGCATCTTACGTGAGAAAATCTGTGCATTCCACAAACAGTCACGTTTCTGAAGGCAACTTTTACAAATATTTACGTTACTCTGTCATTAACCCAGGGCCATTGGTGCCAAACTCTGAGTGGGATGTATACGGAAGAGAATAACAGAGATGCACTGACCCAATTATCCACAGGCCGTCTTACGAGGCTTTACGCAGACTACTAGTGTGGGTAAAAATCTTAGCAACTTCTTACGGTAAATTTGAAACTGTGATTCAGCTCTTCAGAAAACAGGCAGGTTAAAGGGACTTACTCAGTCTGACTACATCAGTTTACGCTTGAGCAAAAACAGAAACATGAACCACGATTAAAGTCTCAACCAGAACAAAACCAGATCTATAACCAAAACAGTTCTGCCACAGAGACCTTGACCCATCTATGCTTGAATTCCTTTGTTTTACAGTGAGGATGAGTCTGGATGCGCCTTCCTGTCTGTATAAAAGTATGTGGTAAGTGCCCTCCTGCTTGGGCCTCAGAGGCCCAAGCGTTGGCTGCATCAGTGTTGTATCTGCATAAACCTTTTTGACACACTGGACTTGGTCAACACTAAAGTGATGTTATGCGTTTGAAAAACCTCCCGCTACGAAATCATAAATGTTCCAAGATTACTTAAGAGACATCTATCCTGACAACAGTATCAGTGAAGTAATTATTTACAACAACTTATGAGATATTATAATCATAAAATATAGAAACATATACATATAGAGAGGACATAAAATACAATGATTGCATACTTTAATTTTAATGAATATAAAGGGGAAAAATAGTAATAGTTCATTGTTACTGATGCCCTGTGACTCAAGTCAGCAGTTTCTTCTGGCTCAACCATATTGTTGAAAAGCTTTAAATGTTGATGCTAAACAGAACTTGATATTTTATGTTTTAGAGCTGCTTTTGCCAGACTAATATGACTAAAATCAATTTGTCATTTCATGAAAATGTCCATGCAATAACCACTGCCAGAAAGGGCCCACTCAGAACTGCCTTACAGGGCAATTGTCCAAGAATTGTCATACAGTCACCACATGATCCCAGTTCACTCTGTAGTCATAGCAGCTGTAATGTTTGGTAAAAAACCAAATTTTTCTACATTTGCCTTTAGGTACAATTTATGTGGAGATCCCACATCATCTTTGTCTCTGAGTTTGCGTGTTTCTCCTTGTGTCCGGGTGGGTTTCCTCTAGGCACTCTAGTTTCCCCCATCAACCCAAAACATGCTCAATAGGCAAACTTCCAGCTGCGGTAGTCCTGACCAAGCTTTGCCCAAGATCTTGAGATAGATTGCTTTCCCTGGCATTGAAGGGTGGGTCGAATGCAGGGGCACATTTCTTTACAGGAACAACAAAGTGTACCTTAACCAATTCAAATATATCAACAGAATGACACAAACTACATCCTGAAGAAGGGGTGACCGTTTACACACTGTCACTGACTATAATGTTTATGTGTAGAGATTAATATAACATTCCAACAAGTCAAACTGAAGTGAGGAGTGACCATGTGTAACATATCAGACATATGATCTGTGTGTGTGATGTTTTGGTTTGACATGGTCCATCCTATTAACAGATGCATGCCTGCTGTCTGCAGCTGCTGTGCCGCCTCTAACACACACCACTGGAATGTTCCCATGTATCCCCGAGCAATAACACACAATTACAAAAGATTTTCCGATTAAAACGTTTCTGGTACATTTAGAGAAGTCTGATCTTTTCTATGTGTAAAGTTGTCCAGTTAAATATTTGCTTTCAGTGTCTTTTGTTCTGAGGATGTTGGGTAGTCGCCCTGTTTGACCATCAAACAGCTCTTTGAGAGTTGCCCACTTGGCGACCAATGAAAAGCCTGGGTTGGATTAGAGGCTGCTCAGGCCTCCTTGGATACCGGATACCAGAACACTGGACTGATTGGCAATCCGTCTACAGAAGGACCCCCAAAATCTCAGCAGTTTATTTAGGTTCAGGGCAGAAATCAAATTACAGTGTGGCATACATTCCAGTGGATGTATTAGGCCAGTTATCACCAAACCAGAAGTCTTCTACTTTTGAACATTAAAATGGGCTTAGAGACTCTTATTGATGGTGCAATAGCTGCTTATGAGAAAGAAAGCAGTGGTACTTTGAAGTGTTTTGGGGCCTGGGACCAACTAACGCGCAGACATAGTCTTCTGTATAGTGTTCACTTGACTAATATGCTTTTACCACAGAGGATTTCAAAGACCTTTATGTGACCATGAGACTTCAAATAAAAGGGTGTAAAAAGAAGCATTCATGATATTTTTCACTGAAGTATCGCACTGTTCTCCTGGACTTTCCACATGATATTTCCTACTTTTGCCCAAAGCTATAATCTGTGGAATATGACAGAACCGACAGACGAGATAGCATGAGGAGCTCAAACCCCCAGGAGGAGCTTGGAGTAGAGCTGCTGACCCTTCACACTAAGAAAATGTAATATGCATGAAGAAACCCTCACCAGAATATTACAAAATTTTAGATGACAACATAACATTCTGTAGGCCCATTTTAATTTATACAGATGGAGAGCAGTAAAAATGTATATTGATGAATTTCATATTTTTGTTGTTATATAGCGAATAATGGGGTCTAGGACTAAGTTTTAAAGGTTAAAGTTTAAAAGGCAGAGTGGCAAAGTACAATTGCCAGGCTCTTGCCCCAAATTTAGGAGTATGACATCGTCACATTGTAGAATCTGAACACTGCATACGGTTTATTTTTTTTTTTTTTTTTTTATTTTGTGTATGTGTGTGTGTATTTTCACAAACAGCCAATTCTACAAAAAAGTTCACATTCCGGGACCTGTAGACATAGATGCCTGCAGACCATGGGCTAAACTTTGACCTCTTGGTTCTTTGCGCCTTGTTTGTAATTCCTTTAATCTTGCATCACATGGACAGAAACGACAGATAACACCTCTCTACTGCATAAAAGTGTTCCTATTGAGCGACCCCTTTTATTTGCACCAGCGCAGATAAGCGGATACTCAACAATGGCGATGATGATTGTGCCAATACAGATACTCACCTGCTTTTGGGACTTTGCACGCGGGCTTAGGACCCGTGAAAAGTGTTGACAAGTGATAGTGGATGTAGGGGCAGGCCTCTCCCCCCCTCCCCCTTGTGACGTCACGCGGGTTGTCCGTCTCCAAAGTGCGGTGCGTGAGTTTGGTGTGGGCAGTCAGCAGCGGCCAGCGTGCGTGCGTGCATCCCCGGGACACCGCAACATCCGCCGTAGCTGGGGCTCAAAAACTTCACTCCTCAACACCAAACTTTGGACTAGAAGCCAACAGACAACATGGGTGAGTTGTACTTTCGCAGACGCACGCTGTACTCTTTGGGCTCTGTAGCTGTCAAAACTTTTACGCAAAACTCTCGACGTGCGAACTGTCTGGCATTATCGCTACAAGTTGTTTTTGAATGAAATTTGCGCTTAAAATAAGAATGTGCAAGCGCTGTTTACCTGACCCGGTTTTCTTGGGCATTAGTGGTGCAGCCTAGAGAGTTGTGGAAAGCGATTAGCGAGATTAGGGATTCCAACAGGCAACCACCACTACTACTGTGTGAAGGTGTTAAAGGCAAATCTCACACCATACGCTCCACTTTATTTTACATGCTTCTTTTATTATTCAGAATCTGCCATTTTTTTGTTAGTTTTGGTGGAAGTGGAAAAAAAAAGTGGTGCAACATGTGGTGTTTGGTCATGCCAGAGTTGTTAATTGCAAACTTAAGGCAGGGACAGGGTTGAGCTGAAAAGGCATCACCAAGTGTGTACCATCTGTGCTCCTATCCTTATTGCTCATACCATGACTGTTGTTGAGTAACTCCAAATGTCTCCAAGACTCCAAATGTCACTGTAAACCTGTCACAATTAATACTATATGGAGTTGTCATTCAATACAAGACAGATGGGGGTTAGGATTTATCATGGGGACTTTATCTTTGCACTAATGGGAAAATTGTATAGTTTTTCTGTTTTCCAATCAGATCTGAGCTGTAGAAGGTTGAATTATGAACTTCTATGACTAATTATAAACGCAAACTAACTCCTTTAAAAGTGCACGGTGTAACTTTACTGATGGAGGCTCCGTCACCTGCTTGTCTCCATGGAGATATTGCTGTTTTACCTACTTTTTTCCACAGTATAGAAATAAACTTGGTAAGCACAATGGAGACAGGTTAATGGTCAGATTTATGGAGAACCAAGCCTGTGCATGGTAAAAATTCATGCTTATTAAGGTATTTTTGAGCTATAAAACCCCTGTAATTGAACAAATGCAAGGAGAATATGTTTAATGCCCCCACCCCACCTTAGAAGTTACACAGTGTACCTTTAACGCTTGCATTCTGTTATTTATTTATTGTATTTTTAACAATATTCTAAATTTAAAATAGTTTGTGTGGTTTAAATTTGCTCTTGGGTTTTTCTGTCAGTGTGATGAATTAGTTTCCCTATTATCGTTTATCATCTATATTTACTTCAGCAATATATCGCAATTCAAAATTTGTTATCATGACAGGCCTATGTCACTGTAAACAACACTACTGCTAATGATGCCCTAATCTAATGCACCAATGAAGATATTGAGTTGCCCCGCTCTGGTGCAGTTGAGGCCATAGGGTGGTAGAACAGTGTGTGAGAACGTGTATCGATGCTCATTAATTCACTCTGGAGGGCTCACAGAGGGGTCATTGTGCTCCTAATTTGGACGAGTCTCTTTGTAGGACTTCAGCAGGACTTTAATGCACAGAGAGAGAGAGAGAAGAGAGAGGGAGAGAAGAGAAGAAGTTTAGAGTGAATCGCATGTTTTACAGAGCGGATGGCCCGTGAACCGTTCTCCCCAAAGACCCTCTTTCACTGTCATACTGAGGCATTGAACGGACACTGACCTTTGTGTGCAGTTTTATGTGCCTAAATTTTCTATGGAGGCGTTGAGTGGAAAGTACAATGTGTTGCCTTGAGGAGGAGTCTGACTTATGATGGTTGGAATTAAAGGGTTAAAGGTGCACTGCGTAACATTTCTAATGGAGTGGCCGCTACCTGTTTGTCTTCATGTTATCGCTTTGTCTTGAATGTTCCACAGTATTGATTAAATCTATTTATCATGAGGAAGATAAGCTGGTTACTACTTCGTCGCTTCTATTCACAGAAGGAATTATGGTATTTTTGAGCAATAGAAACACCTGTAATGAATAAATGCTAAAGGGATGTGTGTACGTAGTTTGCAGACCCTCCGCCAGAAAAGTTGCACACTTTGACCTTTAAACAGAAGGAAGAAGAAAGTCCGACTACCAGTTCTGCCACGACTATCTTTATGGCTCAAATATTGGACTTGGCAACAACTTTGTGGTCAAAAGTAAATAAATATGCCAAATTTCACCCAAGCAAAACTTCTCTTGGTTTATTTTGCTGGAATAATTAGAAATTCTTTGTATATTCATTTAAACCAGATGCGCTTTCAATAAAAAAAAAAGCACAAATTGGTTAGTCTGGTTGGAAAACAAAATAAAGTACACCAAGTAAACCAAGCGAAACCAGCAATGGTTGCCATAGTACTGTACAAAAATACTCTGATGATCTACTTGAGAAAATTCCATCCTCAAAATATTTTTATCTTAAGATTTGTTTACAAAATGTCCCCATGTGTTGACATATGCGATCTGAATACTTTCCACAACTGTATAAGATCCCATTTGAAGATAGTGGACAGTGATCGAAATCGATGAGGGGGAACCTTGAGCGTGAAACTGCTCAACCCAAAATAAACACGCTGCAAATTGTACAACATTATTCACGTGGTTGCATAACTTTTAAACTTGATTTGTTTTTACTCTGAACTTTACTTGGGTGTTATATTCTTGCAGAGAGAGAGAGTAAAGTGATTTCACAGTGCAATGGCCTGTGTGGCGTGTGGGAGGATCTCTTGGCTTCGGTCCTGCGGTTCTTAATTCAAAAGGAGACAGTCATTTTTGCTCAAATGTCTTCCGTTGCCCGACAATTCTTAGTTTCTTTTGGTTTCATTTTAAGCTGTTCTAAACCATTTAATCGCCATACAAATTATCTGCGAAAGTATTATACCATCACATTACCATTATTGCTTAGAAACCGCAAATCCTGACTACATTTAGTTTTACTACGTACTTGGCAGTGGTTTCAAGACAGCGGAGAAAGCGTTTAAAAATAAGTTTCTAAATAACCCAGCTTTCTAATTTATGCCTTTCTACACATAAGATTTAATTACGTGCCTAACATCTGAGGCGTCTTATGACTGGAGTTGCAACTAATCAAATCGAGGCAATTATAGACAGGGCTATGAACACTGCTGCTATTCTTCAAACAGGCAGATGCAGGGGGCCTGAAGGCAAGTTTGTTTTGGTCAATGGTGCATTCTGGTCTTTTTGAAAAGATTACAGAAATGCAAGACAAGAGAGTGCTATGAGCTTTGCTTTGATTTTCCACAAGAGGCTTTGTTTTCCTGCATTTTTAAAGGGCCCACATCATGCTATTTAGTGATCTGTTATGTTGTTGTTTTCTCATTGAAAACATAGCCAAAGTTGTTCTTTGTTTCATTCGCACATGTTTAACGTACAAAATCCTGCATATTTAGGCTGTGTGAAAACACAACGTTCCACCCTGTGATGTCATTTGGTAATACAGGAAGCTCTCCTCTAAAATGGGAATTCCAGGGCTGAAAATATCCCAAATCTCTAATGAACTAAAGGTAAAAAATAGCTTTTAACTTGAAAATTATCACTTCTTGACATCACAATGTGAAATAGAGCATTTTGAACTTAGGAGATATAGACATACTAATAATAAAGGCTTACTCAAACACAACTCCAGGTATGTTTTTATGTTTTTGAGGAGGTAACAACATTAAACTTAAAGCTCACAAGAGTCAGTTTTACATCCCCAGATTCCTAATTGGTCAAACAACTTTTGTCATTTCATTACCCTATGAATGCAACGGTACTTGCTTATTTAATATTTTTAATGTAAATACACTGGCTGAAGAAGTTGTGCTTTCATGTAAGCAGATTTATGGATGGTTTATGGATGTAGAAAAAAAATGAAATTGATTTGAAAAAGGCGAACATAAACATCCAGATGTGGCATGATAGAGCCATGACGAAACCTTTACTCGTGCAGACTGAGTTTTTATGGTAGCCCTGGAGGGACATCTTCTATAAACATGCAGACTTGACACATTGTTTATTTGGTTAACTTTGGTTCATTGTATTATAAACGTCGAAACACCTCATTGCTTTTGACTCTTGAGTCTGTCAGATCCAATACTATTCTCAATGGACAGTGGTGATTGAAACATAAATATAGTCAATTTTTTTTTTTAAGTTACCAAAATCCCCAAACATAAACGGTCCTTCCTGCTGTTGCCCAAGTCTGTTTTTCCATATTTTTCAGCACTCCTGTTCACCACTCGGATGTCTGCTTAATGTCTGATTATTTAGTTCACACATCAGCACTCTACTGTCACACTCACATATGGTAAAGTGGATGTGAACTCTGACCCCTGTATCCTGCTCTCGGGAGGAGGAGAGGAAGGGCCCACGGGGTCTAACACTGTGCCAGCTGAGGTGTTTGTGCACTTTTTCCTCTCAACAATGTGTCAAGTGATGGCCCAGGCAATAGCAAACTGATAACACTGTTGATTTCAGTTGAGTCATGGAGATTTGGCCTGTGGGGTAAATTGTAGGTCATGCAGCAGTGAATCACAGTGGTTTTTGTCTTGTCCAAATCAATACATTCAGCAAAACCTCTGTCTCCCAAAAGGCAAAGTTTAATTACTAATCAGGATATAGACGTACCCGCTAAGTACTCCTCATACTTCATCTTCGGTCTGAAATCATTAATTACACAGAATGCGATGATAATGAGGTCAGGGCTGTCATAGTTTGATGTGAATTCGGGCTTGAATCCATTTGGCAGAGCAGCGAGCAGCATCTCTGGTAATTACAAACGAAGCCAAGACTGTATGGTTTAGCAACTTTGCAGATCTCAATTCAAAACAGACATTTCACAAATATTTCCAACTTTGATTGAAAGTATTTTAATTTGACTTTTGACAAAACATTGGATTGAAGTTTTTTTGTGACTTCATTTGTTATTTGGTATTTTCAGGCCTGGAATTGACAATCTCTACTGAACTAAACTTTAAAAAGTGGCTGTTAACTTGAAAATGACCACTTCATGAAATCACAGTGTGGAACAGAGCATTTATTTGTTATTTGGTATTTTCTAGAGATAGACTAATATATCGTGCTGATATTTGGACTTTTTAGC